TTTTTTGTTGTTGTTTCTCTTTCTTCTTCTTCCTCTTCATTTTCTTCTTCTTCATTCCTCTCGTTGTTTCTTTTTCTTCGGATGACCGGGCTGCTACCGTGACGCCTTTTTTCGGAAGGTCCCGTGTTCTCACGAAGAAAGTTTAACCACGCGAAGGTTGGTGGTCGAAAAAGAAGAAAAGAAGAAAAAAAGAAGAAGAAGAAGAAGGTACCACCAATGGGTATATATGGTTCCGTTCGATTCCATTCCCCGGTTCATATTTACTTTCTAAGCACGAACATAAATTAGTAGTACGTGCCACGCGTGTAACGAATACTCCTCGGATGCCGATTGAAAAGATTAGAAGGACAGACAGACAGACAGACAGACAGATAGGACAAACGAAAAGAGATAGAGACGAGAATAAAATGAGATGAAAGTAAAAAAAAAAAATTATGGCGATAACGTGGAACGTAGTCTACGATTTTTCTCGATAATACATACTTTTCTACAAATAAAAATGAAACATTTATTTTGTCATCGCGATCAAAATTATAAATAATATTTTTAAAAATAAATTCCAATCATTTGTATTATATAAAATAATAATAAACATATATCAGTGATGTGTTCCTGTTCATATAAAAAATGTATAATATAATAATAATTTATTATACACTAAATGTGTGTGTTAATTAAATATAAATGAACAAATTGTTATAATAACATAATATATTGTTCCCGTTATATGTTCACAAAAAAAAAAAGACAAAAAACAAGAAATTAATTCATATTTTTATACGAAGTCTTATGTTTATTCTGTTAGATCGAAATTCTAAATGTTCAAGTGTTCCAATTGAAACGCATCACCCTGTATATAGTTTGTACCGAAAAACAGGGTGCGCCATCGCAAATTAACGACGTTTAATACCACCGTGTGCACGGATGTAATAGCACAGTGGTGATCCCTTCTTGCTATTCCCTTCTTCTTTGATAAATAAGTTTCCTTTCGATACGCTATTCGTCTCGCGCACGCGCGCATCCTAGCAATTCTCCTGATTTACGATCCATGAAGAGTTCCACCAAGACAAACTTGTCTTATTTTTTTTTTTGTTTTTTGATTCTTTTCCTAAGTATTCCTTATTTTTTTTGGATCGTTTCTCGCATCCACCCCTTTGGCGTGACCAGCAAACTTACATCTGCGAATCAATTGTTGTTTGATTTATACACTTTCCTTTTCTTTTTCGAATATAACAAATAAAATGATTAACACTGAATGAACTATCGACATTTTTGTGTACACTTATTCTTATCATGAAAAAAAAAATCATACATCTTAATATAGAATGAGATTTTAACCGATTAGATGGATGAACAAAAATTTAGAAACTAATGGTATACATTTTTTGTTCGTTTCCGTCATAATTCTTTTTTTTTTTTTTTTCTTTTTTTACAAATTTACAGATTACGCGGATGTTAAGTTTAGCGTTGAAAATATTTATTCGAAATATTTCTAATTATCGTAGAGTTTCGAAAATTCAATCATTCTCGAGAAGGAGGGGAAAGAAAAAAGAAAAAAAAAACGAAAGAAAGAAAGAAAAAGTCCAATCGAGAATCGAGTTTAACCGTTAGAAAGCAGAGTACTTTAGTCGTAGAAAACCGTACTTATAGTTTAAGAATCTTCTAACGATGTCGGTACGAGAAGCCACTCAATCATGTTCAAATCACAAATGGGGAACCACTATGGTAAACATTATTTAAATCGAGAATTTATTTCAATCTAGATATATCCAAATGAGAAAATTGTTATTAAAAATAAATTTTTCTTAATTATCCTACGAATAAAAATATCACATCTATGATAATAAAATTGTATTTATTTAATCGAGTAAAAAAAAAAAAAAAATGAACACATACATATGCACAAAAATTCGAGTCACGAACAATCGATTTCTTTTCAAAATCGATTACGTTGTATACCCACCGATCGGGATAAATAATAATTTGTAGGAATAGAAAAAGTAAAGAAGATGAACGGCAAGAGGAAGTTTTTTTTGTCGCTCGTACGAGCGAATCAATTTGATCGACATGATCTTTGTGATATCGTATACACTACCACGAATCTTTGGCATAATCCTATAAGATGTTAGCTAGCCTCCTCCCTGCCCCCTTTCGTAGAAAAAAAATTCGATCTGTCGATCTTCGAAAAGATTCTATCTAATCCGTTTAAACGATCCCCGGGTTTAGCTTTCGAACGGTGCATTAATCCTTGATGCACCGGCGCACGTTTTGATGTTGTGAGAAGATGTGTATACGTGTATATACACATACTATACAATGAGTTGACATACACACAAACGATTAAAGAGATATTATGCTTGATAGAACCTTCCTACTAAAAACGATGTTAGAAGGTTACGGTATTTCCGAAGGATGAAAGAATTTCAAATCGACCTTTCACGCTTCTTCTTCTTCTTAATATAATGCGAATATTATTATATAAATTCTTCTCTGTTATAAGATATTTAAAATAGTATAATAAAGTATCGTATTTAATGTACTTTCGAAAACAAAAATTATGAAGCAATTCAATTTTCAAAAAAATTCAATTTACAATTATATTTTTCATTGATCTTTCTTGTAAGATAATAATACAAAAAATATAAAGATATTACTACTAATTATTTGATCCAAAAATAACGTTATTAATATTATATTAAATATTATGATATTATATAAAGTATCGATTAAAAGTATCAAAAAAAAGAAAAAAGAAAAAAGAAGTCATTCGATGATTTAAAAAATGATCTCGAAAGTATCCATAGTGACGCTATATTATGATCTCGAATATGTTTCTGATTTATATATGTCCTAAAGTATATGAGAGAGAAAGAGAGAGATAGGATATAAAAGACAGCAGAAGCGTCATGTTATCGACGGTGGTTCTAGTCGAGTCATTTATTTGGTTTAATTTGAGATCTCAACGACGGGCACGTCATCGTAGATCGGAGATCACTAAGGCCGATCATTGTCGGGGATCACGGCGCCTACTCCGATCGGTAGGCGTTCACCGATAACGAAAGAGACCTACGTTATGTTACAAAAGAAAGAAAGAAAGAAAGCAAGAGAAGAAGAAGAAGAAGAAGAAGAAGAAGAAGAAGAAGGAGAAAAAATAGGGGGTATGGGAAGGTTTCAAAACGCAGCCGCATACGTAATGGTCCCCGTAGGAAAAAAAGATTTCCGGAGATGGAGTCTCTCAGCCGGAGACAGGTGAATGTTTGACATTCCTCTCGTGGCCTCCGCTTTCGACGCCCTAGCCGCACCCGATCATCGCCTTCTGTTTTCTCGATTCTTCTTTTCCTCCTCCTTCTCCTTCTCCTCCTCCTCCTCCTCCTTTTCCTCGATCGAAACGCGACGCAACATTTTCTTTCGTCTCACATAGGAGAACGCAAAACTCGTTTTCATTATTATTTCCTTTCCTTTTTCTTCCAATTTTTTCTATACTTTTTATTAGGGTCGACAATCAAAAGTGTTCGTGCGTTTTTCTTTTTGATATTATTTTAATATTTCCAAAGTAAAAACATTTACAAAAACAATTCTCCACCATTGTGCAGTTTCATAATAAAGTTTTAACACAATGAACGGCACGAATTTTTGGTTTATTTATCAATTTACTTGAAATTGATCACTTTCCAATCATCATTGTATTATTTTCTTTCAAGAATTGAATAATTTCAAGAATTTGTTTATTATCAGTTGAGTTATGTGTCAAAAATCATATCGTTATTGTATGTATATGCATTATTATTATTATTATTATATTGGAACGTAAAGAATGTTATATCTTGAAAAATGACGAGAGTTAGTGTTTTAAATTTGATTAATAAATAGGGTAAAGATAATCTCGTATCGGTAAGTGTCCATTCCAAGCGATAAAAGTGGACATCGAAATTTAATTAAACGCCCTTTTGACGATAGGATTCTTCCCACTAAAGTAAATCTACATATAGGATTTATAGAAAGTTCCGAGTTGTGCGGTAGTTAAATCGAGTAAACCTATGCGTTGACTTGGACAAATAAAATTCGAGAAAATTAATGATTTCGAATGACTAAGAACATTTTCTTTTTTTTTTTTTTTTTTTCTATGGTTTACGAAGTAGTAGCAGCAAACGATTAGAAAAAATGATTTTAATTCAGATGAATTAAGATATGTTTGAGGGGCAACAAAATATTGTCAGGAGAAAGACGATGACTCTTAATCATTTTTGTGAGAGAGTATAAACGTGTAGACCATCACTAACTACGACTACTACTAACATCACCATGTTATATAGGAGAATATTCAAAACGGAGACAATTTATTTTGAATTTGCTGGGTAAGACCCGAGGTCCCCTTTTTGAGACACGTGCATTCTTAGTCGAATACTGGGCCCTGTACCATTGCTCGTTGGCCGTAAAATAATATTGTCAGACTAAATTCTTCTTCCACCTTCGCTTATATCATTCCCTCTTGCCGCGCAACCAACGTGAAACAAGACAAACTATTTCGAGAACTTAGCTTTTAAATTTCTTTTATTTATTTATCCGAAGCGCAGCACGATCATCGAATGAATGTTAACTGTTATTATAGCGACATTTTCCTTTTCAGACATTTTGTCATCGTCACCTTTCGTAGAATTACAAACGAGAAAAGAATCTCGCCCCTATATTATTTGTCTCTTTTCAAATGGTAAAACACACCATTTAGTCGAATAGATTTTTCTTCAAATTCAATTATCGAAACGTTATATAAATCATTGTTAATTTTCCATGGGAAAAAAAATACATGAAATCTAGTCAGGATTAAGAAGAATCTTAATTAATTCCACGCGTTTTACGAATTCGATTTAAGGGCAGTAGAAATGGTGATAAAAAAAAAGTAGAGCAAGGATAAATCCATGACGTGTGGGTGCTGTTAAGGGGATCCTACGTAAGGCCAGGAATATGAGCGAAAGTTTTGCATGAATCAAAAGTGTCTCGACTCATTGTATCGCGGCTTTAGGATAATCAGTTGGCATAGTAAGCTATTGTTAAGGAGGAACTCTTTACAAAAGTCTCATCGACCTTCTTTCGTGGCATTGCAAAGGGACTTAACGCCATTGTAAGACCACCCCGAAAAGAAGAAGAAGAATAAAAGAAGATTCGTACATAGCCAAGGCTACTTCAGAGCAAGTACAAGCAACAAGAACTAGCTCGCTTTTGTTGTAAGACACTACTTCGCAATTACAATTCGTAACACGCGTCTACCTCGTGTTGCCTCTGCAAACATCACTAAAACTTTGCGTGTGGTCGAAAACACGAATCCTCTCGTACGAGCTTACGAGTTGAAGGATCCTCGAAATGAGTAACGGGGATTCCTCGAGACTTCTCCTTTTTTTAATTATGTTGCGAATCTCTCTCTTAGAGAGGCCATCTTCTCGAGTATCTTAATTTAAAATACATACTTTAACGAATCGATGCTTTGCTCCTATTTTCATATTTGGCATTCTATTCAAAGACGAGAACTACGATGATTCTCTCTCGCGTCAATTATAATTTATTTATAATATCATTCTATTTGAATAAGTAAAGTGATCTCAAACAAAATAGATCTGTATCTATTGTAAAAAAAAATTTATTCTATAAATAGCAACAGTAGCTCGCAAAGAAACCGATTCGAAAATGATCTTCTCGAGTCCATTAGCAGAGAAATTTGGACTTCTGACATGAGACGCGGGTCGAGCTCGAGCAAACAAGGACGTCGGCAAAAATCAAAGGCTGATTCTTCGTCTGATATTGGCCTGTCGCGTCGCTTTGGTTCGTTCAACAGACTAGACGAGATCTGCAAGCTCACGCCCTTGAAAATCCTTTCGAATGGCGGCGGCCCTGGTGATGAACCTTCCTCTTCTTCTTCTTCTGCTGTTATTCTGCTATGGGTCTCTTTCCTTTGCCGTACCGTGTTGTTGTAACACATTTCGTACCGCAAGCAAACAGAGTTCCTCGGTTTGTCTGGTAATTGCTGGAAACACCAAGCGAGTGTTTGCAGTGTCATCGAGGTTTGGTCACACCTCGGACTACGAACACTTCCCAAAGCTCCTTTTCTTCACCTCACTGCTGCTAATGTGTATCTTACGTTCTTATAAAAGCGACTACGTTGAAAGCTCTCCCACTTTGTCGCTACTTCGATTATGTTTTTAATGCTTTTCCACTCGCGCTACAACTGGTTCTCTTCCGAAGATTGCATTTTAAACAAGGAATGTTTCAAAATTTCATCTGATAAAATGATATATATAGGATGTTTTTGCTGTGTCTCTAATGTTCCAAAGATTGTGTTAGCCATTACAGAGAATCTTGTAGATTATAATATAATATATTACTTAGAACACAGCTTCTTGCATAATAATTAAAAGATTAATTGTAAGACTACTATCTGTAATCTAATTTTTTCATCTGATCAAATTACATTGCACGCATCGCATTAGTGCTACCATCTATGCGAATGTAAGTAAACCATGGTTTACCATGAGACCCAGTTGGTACAAAGAAGTAATCAAATATTTACTCACAATTACTTTTAAACGTGTATGATTCTAGAAGCTGAATTTAAAAATAATTCGCAGAAATAAATCCCCATAGAAATTGTTTACAAAAACTTAAGTCTAATTAAATATTCAGTTTATGTACAAGTTTAACAGTTAAAAAATATTAATTTTTCCTAAATGATACAAAGTTCTTCGAATTCATATTATGCATTAATTCAAAAAACAAATTAATTTTCTTGCAACTGTTCAGCTTCCATTTCGTTGTCAGATTCATGCATTTCAATATCCTCTTCTGCTGTCTCTTCCAATTTCTTTCTTTCCTTAAGTCCAGCAGCTGGTGATCTTATCAAAGATAGATCACGTTGTACTTCCTTAATATCCCTTTCTCGTTCCAATGTACGACCCTTGCGCAAACGTTGCATAATATGCAAATTCGATCTCCTTTGTTTGATGTTTTCGACTTTCTTTATAGCTTCCACAGTCTTTGTCCATAATTCTCTATTGTATTTAACTGGGATATTTCTTCTCTTCTCAAATTCGAATGACGGATCTATTGCCAATTCTTTACCAACTGTCTTCCTATATGCTTTGGTCCACTTAACCTTTCTTGGATTCTTTTTCTTTTTGAATGCCGCGTGACATTTCGACCGGCAAAATCTAAAAATCTACAAATTTTAATAATTAATAAATTGTTTAACAAAAGTTTCTCACACAATAATATCAATATCAATATCAATATAGAAACACGTGACATAACCTCAAAAATTGGTTAAATCCAATTCTATCGACCATTTCACTCGAAATTTGTTAGAAAAATAAAATAATAAATTTATAAATTACTTACTTTACAATCGTTTCTAACAAATTGAATTCCATGTCCCGGAAATATCCGAGAAGAGCAAAAATAACACGTTTCAATACGCATCTTGCACAGTAACAATAATAGAAAGATTGCATAGAAATGCGTAACGTGTTTCGTTATAACACCTGGTGTGAAGTCGACGAATTAATTCAATACTTTCACCGAAGGTAACTTCAATGCAATTTCATTTGAGAATATAAATATTAGTTCTATAAAAAAGGCAGTCTTTTATTAAAATGTATATAATATAACTAAAAAAAAATAATATTACTTAATATATTTTATTTTCATATAATTAAATCATCAATTTGAACTTACTTCCGGTTTTTGCTTTCAAAAAATTATAACCCTTACAAATATTGCGAGAAAGAAAGAAAATATTAATTTTACTAGTGTCCTGTTTCTGGCGAATCGTTGAAAAAATCTAATATTTATTAATATCATTATTGAAAATGATTCAGAATAATTTTAATAATGATAAAAATGAAATTAAACATGAAAAAAATGAAAGTGTGAACGTTCTCGAAAGGAATTCCGTTGTATATAAAGATTTATCTTTTACCTTGACGCAAGAAGTCAGTAATTATTCAAAACAATATTCGAACGTTTATGTTGCTAGACTTAAAGAACTTGGAGAAGTTTTGACAGCAAATGTCAACGCAAAATGGAGTAAAATATAAATGATATTTTTGAAAAGATTTTGTCAGATATCTAAGCAACCAAAAAGTAATATGTATTTTATTTTGTTTATTAGAAGACGTCAGGATTGCAAAATTAGCTGATTTAGATGCTATTGCGGGAAATACTTGTGCTATAATTGGAACAATATATAAACATCAGCAATGGAAACCATCAATTTTGAGAGAGGTTGGCGAACACAACAGATTGACATTACAACCTGAAAAATCTGATTATTGTTCTGAAAACGATCAAGTATTCTTAGAAGATGAAGAGCTACGCATTAGATTAGTTGGTAATTTAATTAATCTTGAAAGCGTCGTTACTGGTTTAATATGTGCTGTATTAGGAAATGAAGGCAAAGATGGTACATTTACTGTAAGTTCAAATACTTTTAAAAATAGTATTGTATTTTATTAGTGTTGAAATCCTTTCTTTTATATATTCCTTTATATAGGTAAAGGATTGGTGTTACCCAGGCTGCGCACCACAGACTCATCTAACTGTAAACTCAAATTCAAGTGGAAAGATCGTTCTAATATCTGGATTAAATTTTATTAAAAATTCAGATGACATAGCAGTAGGATTATTATGTGAATGGATCTGTGGAATGGCTGGTGATATAACAGCTCAGAAAGAGGAAGCATCCATTGTACGCCTTATTATAGCAGGTAATATAAATTATATATTTATATATACTTTTGACTTATCGCAATAAATGGAATGTTACATTAATTAACATGCTATTATTTTAGGCAATAGTATTAGCAATAGCAAAAAAATATATGAACGTTTGAACATGTCGGCATTAAAAATAGAAGAGCAAAAACATACAACAGATACTGTAACTGCGACACAAAAATTAGATACTTTTCTTTCCAATATTGCAAAATGCTGCGGTGTTACTTTAATGCCGGGCCAACATGATCCGTGTAATAGGCTGTTACCACAAAAACCGCTTCATCCTTGCATGTTACCAAAGTCATGCAGGTATTATTTAATTAGAATATAATGAGAGATAAATGATTAAATGATATTCTCAAAATTGATTCAAATATATTTCCTTTTAGACTTGCAAGTTTTCAAGGTGGTTCTAATCCATGGGTCAGCCAAATTGGTAATCGTATGATAATGGGTTCAAGTGGTGAATCTATTGAAGATATTATGAAAGCTTCTGGTTCTAAAGATATGTCTCCATTACAATGGCTAGAAAAAACTCTTATTTGGAGACATTTATGTCCAACTGGACCAGACACATTACCATCTTACCCATATAATGAAAAAGATTTATTCATAATAAAACAATGTCCTGATATATATTTCACAGGGAATGCCAATAAATACGAAACTAAATTGTTTAAAGGTATTTATTGTTTTCTTACGTTGTTATTAAAAGTTAAAATCAATTATTAATTCTCCTTTTATTTACAGGTGAAAAAAATCAAGTTGTCAGACTAGTTTGTATTCCACAATTCTCAACATCTCATGCAGCTGTTATAATAGATTTGGAAAGTCTTGATGTAGAACTGATTCATTTTGGAATAGAATAAATACGATTTTTCTATTTTTTTTTTTCATGCATATTATCTACCATTGTTGAACACAATTTTGTATATATATCTAATTTATATATTTTGGTAAAAATTTTATAAATAAAAATATTGAAAAATTTTACAATGATTGTAACTCTTTCCGCATATGTCGGTAAATCATTGACAAAACTACTTCGTAGATATGTCGGTAATTCATTGATAAATTATTACGTAGATACATAAATAATTTATTATTTAATTGTATGCATGTATATATATATATATATATATATGTTTTTTTATGCATTAATTTTTCTCGTTATTTTATCTACATTATAAAAATAATTTAAATCGTCTTTTTTAATTCACCACAAAACGTACCTAAGAATATATACGCGATAAGAAAAATCAACGATCACGTATATCGATTACAAGACGCTAATTAAATATGTCAATTATAGCACGTTGCGCTTCTACAAAAGCAACCACACTGTGCGTAGGTTTTACAGTCCGATATTATCGGTTGTTCTTTTCTGATGTGATATATACGTTTAACTTATTATTTAACGTTAAGAACATGCGGAATTATATTTTGATATCATTTATGGTTCTGATATTATCGTTATTTTATCATTATCAATTTAGTAAACCAATCAGTATCATCGAAACTCCAAATAGTTATTATGATTATATAGTCGGTGAGTAAGTGAAATTTTCGATATTATTTTAAAAGAGAAAACAACTTGTTTTTTTTTTTTATAATAGTAAATTTAATATCACAATATAAAAATATTCACGCGAATATTTTTTGTTAAATCAAATAAATAAATCCCATATGAAAAGTTGCATCAGGAAATAGAATGATGCAATTTGTCATGTTGTTTATTAACAATTTTATATAAACATAATATTAATAAAAAATATATATTAACCATCTTAACAATCGTAAACCCTATATAATAAATAAAACTTCGATTATCCACGTTGTTAGTTAAATTCTTTGATTTGCAAAGTTGGAGCTGGTACGACTGGTTGCGTGATAGCATCGCGTCTATCGGATTTAACAAATAACACGGTACTGCTCGTGGAAGCGGGTGGTTATTTCAATTGGATGTCGGTGATGCCGTTGATGGCCCCGTTGATGCAAGGAAGCAGCTTAGATTGGGCTTATAAAACAGAGACCCAGAAGTTCTCGTCGTTGGGACTTTGGAGTCACGTAACACTACTTTCTCTCTATTCGCATTTACATATATACATTTTCTAGAGGATTTAGATTATTATTTTTACATTTAATTAAATTAAAATATACATGTTACGGTTAATATAGATAATCCGAGCATTGTACAGAAGTGTGTCTAAAAAGTTTTCGTCAATTTAAAATATATGCTCTAGTTATAGTTATATTTAGAACATGAGGGATAAGGGGAAGGGAAAAAAATCTCAAGATATTATAAGTGAAACAAACCACGACAGATATAAGTTCACACGGTCACGAAATGATCTTTACTTTCGGTAATGTGCACGCACACGTACACGCCTTTTCTCAGCCATCTTACTGTAAGAACTTCATCTTCCAAACTTCCACGTAATAAGGGTAGAAGAAGGTAACAGTAGTTATAGTTTATATGTTTTGAAACAAGAAATAAGGGAGAGAACGTTCCCTCTTTCCTATACACTTGCCTCTCCTCTTAGCAAAACTCTGTCGTAATCTTGACAAAATCTGAGGGGAGAAACGTTTACTGAAACACATTTTAAAGATTAATTTTTATACCATGATTCTGTACATTGACCATATAACATATACATATATCGATTATTCATTATGTTTGATGATATAATTATTATCGCAGAAACAATCATGGCCAAGAGGTAAAGGATTAGGTGGTAGCGGTCAAATAAATTATCTCGTCCATTCTTTTGGGAGGTCAGATGATTACAAAACTTGGCCTAAGGGATGGTCCTATAGTGATTTAATACCGTATCTTAAAAAAGTCACGGAAACCATGAGCGTGACTACCGTTTCATCGGACGAGCCATTAGTTGTGGCCTTCATGGAGTCTGAACTTTCGATCGGATCTAATGACGCCACGTTCCAAAAGGCCAGTTATACCGCCAAAAAAGGAAATCGATGGAGTACCTATCACGCATATTTACTAAATTCTTTGAATCGAGACAATCTTCACGTATTGATGAACACTCTGGTTACCAAGGTAAAATTTCATTAAATCATTAACAAATGTTTTAAATTAAAAATCCGGTTTCTTATTTTTCTTTTCTTTTCTTTTCTTTTCAGATATCGTTTAACGATACCAAAATAGTCGGCGTCGAAGTACTTTACAACAATGCTTCACGTGGAAAAATAAATGCGAGAAAAGAAGTTATTCTTTGTGCCGGTACCGTAAATACCGTTCAGTTACTTATGCTTTCTGGTATAGGACCAAGACAAGATCTCAGCAAATATGGGGTATTAATAAAATCTAATATAATCAATAAAACAGATTGATATACAATTTTGATAAAAATAATGAATTTTTGTCTAGATACGTACCGTGAGCAATCTCCCAGAAGTCGGCAAGAATCTTTTCGATCATTTGAATATACCGATATACGTTAATTTGAAAGCACCCGTTAGTTTGACATTAAAAAAGATGCAATCGATTCAAGAAATGGCAAAGTACTTTATATTTGGAACCGGTAATTAAAGTATAAATTCATAGATAATTTTTGTTCGTCCAACGGTTATAATCTTTATTGTGTTTTATTTGATTTTTGTATGCAATAAGGATCACTTTCGACGAATCGTGTTTTGGCAACTGCACGCGTTAACAATAGCGGTATTATTCTATTCGGATTGGGTTCAACCGATGAGAAATTATTGAAGGACATTGCTAATTATCAAACCGAGACTTTCAGATC